CGTTTTCCCCATCATTTTAGCTTTGATATCCAATTTAGTAACGTTGTCTGCTCTTCAATTTCTTTGATTGCATTAAGACACATTTATTGTGAACTAGGAACATAAGGTTTACTTTTCCTTTCACATGTACACATGTATACAGGTATGATGAAAGCATCAAGAGAACAAGGTCAGCAGGAGTGGATGTTTCCAGCCTATGCTGGGACTGGGAGCACACAACAATGTAGCAATAACAACCCAGGTGAGTAGTGAGGTACATTTGATATGGATTGTTGCAGAATATACCCTATAAATTTAAGGCACTTTGGGGACAGTAAAGACGTACATTTAACTACAACATAGAACCTAAACCTCTATGTTGAAAAAAAAAAAGTTTTTTCTGAAGAGTTGGATTTTAGCACAATTGACTATTGTTCCATAATTTTCCACCTGTTTCATGTAGGGCAGTGACATGCACTTCACCAGTAGCACAGTACTACTATTCAGCCAGACTGAAGTCAGGGGTGATGAAGACGATGCTGCCTTTGGTGTGCTGGAACTGCGGCGAGGAGGAAACGCTGCCCATACCAGCAGAGAAGACTGCTGCATACCAGACAATAAACCCTGTTTGTCAGGTAGGCATACATTTGTTACCTACTTAAATACATTACGCAACTTATGTAGAATAGCTCTAAACATATTCTGTTTGGTTCCACCTTTATTGGATATTCTTTCTCAAACGCTCCTATAGACTATTTGCATAGGTAGAAATGTAGTAATGCATGCAAAAGGTTAATCAGCAACTAATTTTGCCTTTTATGCTTTGTTTCTGCAGGTCTGCAAAATGTGATGAAAGAAACAGAACGGGACAACTGCTGTTCCACCTGATTCATTACTGTTTTGATGATGAATAAAAGACTTCTTGCTTGTTACACTGTGTCACCTCATTCAATTTGTGTCCTAACATGTGTCGTCTCTTAGTATATTTCTAATCTAGGCATCTTGTTTTTTTGGGCCCTTCTTGTTTTTTTTTCGCCCTCTCGCATTAGATTTGGAGTCTCCAAAGGACGTCATCCATAAAATTTACTTGGTGTGGCCTAATATGTAAACAATGAATTTTGAACTTTTAATCAAACCACTGCATTGATAGATGGAAAAACGGTAACAACTAGGAAGAAAAGGACTTTCCTCAACTGTTGCGGGCAAACTATGAGCATTTTTTGGTTGATCCAGAACAAGAATTTTTTTTTTCTTAAATCAGATAAAAATGAAGAGGTGAATCTGAGAACCAAGAAGTTAAATTGGTGTGGCCTAATGCAAAATTGCAGATTGTATGATTTTTTTCTCCTGCAATCTTAAAAATCTCTCTGTTATTGTTAAATGCTGAATGCAGTATTTCTAACACTGTCCACAGATGAGGTAAAACTGTTGTAGTTTTTACCTCCCTAGCCTCCCTCCTGGCCTGGTAATACGGCCGTGCCCGGTCCACACAGCTGCCCAGTTTCTTGGCCAGGACATTCAGCCTCTGGGTCGACTCGGTCAGCAACTGGCGAAACGCAGCTCTCGAGTCCTGCAAGTGCAAGCAAATTTACCAGAAACCGTAAAATGTTTTGTTTCAATAGGAATTCTTACCAAAAAATCATAACACCACAATTTGTTTCATGAAGTTCACAGTGACTAATGTGAAGTAAAACCATGCAAAAGTAAATGCATTTACAGTATTAAACTGACTGATATACATGTACATCATGTAATGTACAGAAATGTACATGTGTCTGCAACATAGTCATTAATTTATGTGTTAATATGAAATAATCAGTGTATCCCCCAGCTGCAACAACTGCAGATTATCCAATATTTTTTTAATCTCTAATAGAGAAATGGTTTACTCTAGAGAATTCCATAAACTATTGCGACACTGTATTAAAAAACAAAATTTCAATCTAACTTATTCCAAGCCCAAATGCTACAATGGGTTAATCTCAATATAACTCCTCGACATAGTACTTGTGTACATAACTTACTGCCTTATAAAACTTTAAAAGTGAATGTAACCAACTTAATTGCAGCTGGAAAAATATGATATTTCTCATATGCATGTCTCACACTCTGAGATATTTCTTGGAACGTTCCTACTTTGTTAATGACATTAACTGTATTTAGTACAGATGTACTCACATCCAGCTCCAGTTCCAGACTGTTAATCTCATCAGCTGCCTGGTTTAGTGTCTCCAGTTCCTCCTGAAACACACCACAGTCCCTGTTCTTTAACTTAGCTGCACATGTACATTATGTAAGAAACCAGGAGGAGACAGTAGAAACAGATAAAAACCCCTTGGTCCCGGGCCAGATTCGAACTCACGGCTCCCGGGCCACAGTGAGACGCTCTAACTGAGTGAGCTAAAAGGTCTAGACCCTGTTTGCCGGATCTGTTGGTAGCGCCTATAAACCCCCAATCGTTACACTACTCCCCCTTTTCTTTTCAAGAGTCGTCCTCGAATCTTCCGAATTCGACATCCCTGGAGCGGCACTCTTTGCCAGAACTCCCAGGGCCGGTGTGGGAACCAGTGTAAGAAACCAGGAGGAGACAGTAGAAACAGATAAAAACCCCTTGGTCCCGGGCCGGATTCGAACTCACGGCTCCCGGGCCACAGTCAGACGCTCTGAGTGAGCTAAAAGGTCTAGACCCCCTTTTCCGGATCTGTTGGTAGCGCCTATAAACCCCCAACTGTTACACATACACAACACCATCTCTGTCTGAGGCGTACTCCCCCATACCACTCATTCCGGCAGCTTGATGCACCTAGTGCTGTGTACGTATACCTTTACCCACATTTAGGTTCAGGTCCGGATTCAATAGTCCAGAGGTTTAGGTTCAGGTCCAGATCCGTAAGTCCAGACCTAAATCTACGGCATGTACAAAATTGCATGTTGGCAACTTTGCAATATAATGTTGTTTGCAATATACCTTAGTAACTCTGGCCACATAACATGGAGGCAGACACTTGATGATGTCCGATGGCAATGTTTTGTTCATTTTGAAACACAGATTTTGTAATCTATGGTAGGTTTTATAGGTGGTTTGGAAAGAAATGGGGTATGTGACACTTTTTTTTTCAAAGTCTGGAATCGGTTCTTGAATTTTAGGTCTTTTTGGACTTGAACCTAAACATTTCTACAAGTCCAGAACCGGTCCAGCAAACCGGTACACAGCACTAGATACTTCGGACCAGGCTTTTAGCTAGGTGGTGTCCAGGGTGTCTTTTGGACTCCCAGTACTGAATTTTTTTTAATAAGAAGAAATTAGACACCATACTTTTTGGTAGAACACCTAAAGACGACCTATTATATAATACATTTTCACTCCCAACCCCTGCCATGCACTCATGCCTCCCTTCTGCCTTACTATATAATACAAAAACGATGGAAAAAACTCAAATTCCTCAAAACGTGCGCCTCAAAATGCAGAAAGTAGTGTTTGAGAGCATTACTAGTAGTATGAATCTTAAAGAAGCCCCCCAAAATTGAATGGGCTGAGCTGGCTGAAGATTTAATAAATAAAATAAATACTCTTGACTAGTAAATTCGTGTCTCTAAAGAAGACTCCTTTGCAATTTTGCTCAATGTTTCGTGACAGGATAAAGCATTTGAGTCATCAGTTACATCACGGAGCGAAGTGTCCCATGGGAAAACACCTGGCAACCCAGAGTCACGGCAAACCTACAGTACAGTACTAGACTACTAGTAGTAGGGCTCTAATTTCTAACCAGGCTGTTTGAGCATAGGAGCCCCCAGTAGTACGCTGTGATTTGGAACCCTATGCTACACCTAGTATATGATTTAGGCTCTGGAAAAAAATGTTGTATTTCCAGTTCACGTCCTGAAAAAACTAAGGTCGGTAGGTACAGATTATCTTTTGTTTTTCGTTCTTTTTTTAGACTTTTTTTTTAAAAATGGTCTCTACATAGTGATCCAATTTATACAACACAGTTTAACGTTAACAAAGAAAAACTTGCATGAGGACACTTATATTTTCTATGTCAATGTTGGAAAACCGATTGTACAATGTTTTATCACTCAGGTGTCAGATCATGGAGCTAGAAAAGGTCAAGCAGCTCCAAAAAATTTATGTCCCTTGCATTGGTCCACACAGAAAAAGGCTAGGGTCAGCAATTTTTGGGGGGGTCGGTCAGGAAACAGGAAACACAATTTCTTTCCTAGGCCTCAGCCTCTTACACTGTCTTTCAACCACCTGTTCAGGAGTGTTTATTTTGTGGGAGAATATTTTGTAAAACTATAACAGAGGGAATAGTATTTCAGTGACATGACTGTCATGAGTCTTGAAATTTTATGGCCATGTCTCAGTCAGTGTGCAGCTTGTGCTGCAGAAAATTGTTCTTCTGTAACCTGCTGACCCCATAGATACGCTATGAAAAAGTCTGGTGAGAAAAGTAGTTTTTTTTCAAATTGAAGAGATTATCCAAAATTTGTACCAAACCTAAAAATAGTAGTACAATTTTGTAGACCTAATAAACGTAATACTTACTAATTATGTGTCATAAAAAAACATTCAGACAGCAAGATACATGTATGTCACATGTCACAGAAAGCTATAATTTAGGGAACATTCTGGTTTGAAATGAGTCGAGTTTGAAGGTTTGATTACCAGTCGACAGAACGAAAAATCAGATCATGTAAATATATAAAAAGGATAGTTGAACACTGTACTAGTAGTACCAGAACCTAGCAGACAATTCCATTAATTTTATTCCAGACAACCGACAACCGATGTATGACTATGAGTCAGCAGGTCACAATAACATTTTTCACACCCTGTAATATAATAGTAGTCTAGGTTATCACATGGGTCTAACTGAATTACTCCTTCGTTGTAAGGCCACACCAAGTAAATTTTATGGATGACGTCCTTTGGAGACTCCAAATCTAATGCGAGAGGGCGAAAAAAAAACAAGAAGGGCCCAAAAAAACAAGATGCCTAGATTAGAAATATACTAAGAGACGACACATGTTAGGACACAAATTGAATGAGGTGACACAGTGTAACAAGCAAGAAGTCTTTTATTCATCATCAAAACAGTAATGAATCAGGTGGAACAGCAGTTGTCCCGTTCTGTTTCTTTCATCACATTTTGCAGACCTGCAGAAACAAAGCATAAAAGGCAAAATTAGTTGCTGATTAACCTTTTGCATGCATTACTACATTTCTACCTATGCAAATAGTCTATAGGAGCGTTTGAGAAAGAATATCAATAAAGGTGGAACCAAACAGAATATGTTTAGAGCTATTCTACATAAGTTGCGTAATGTATTTAAGTAGGTAACAAATGTATGCCTACCTGACAAACAGGGTTTATTGTCTGGTATGCAGCAGTCTTCTCTGCTGGTATGGGCAGCGTTTCCTCCTCGCCGCAGTTCCAGCACACCAAAGGCAGCATCGTCTTCATCACCCCTGACTTCAGTCTGGCTGAATAGTAGTACTGTGCTACTGGTGAAGTGCATGTCACTGCCCTACATGAAACAGGTGGAAAATTATGGAACAATAGTCAATTGTGCTAAAATCCAACTCTTCAGAAAAAACTTTTTTTTTCCAACATAGAGGTTTAGGTTCTATGTTGTAGTTAAATGTACGTCTTTACTGTCCCCAAAGTGCCTTAAATTTATAGGGTATATTCTGCAACAATCCATATCAAATGTACCTCACTACTCACCTGTGTTGTTATTGCTACATTGTTGTGTGCTCCCAGTCCCAGCATAGGCTGGAAACATCCACTCCTGCTGACCTTGTTCTCTTGATGCTTTCATCATACCTGTATACATGTGTACATGTGAAAGGAAAAGTAAACCTTATGTTCCTAGTTCACAATAAATGTGTCTTAATGCAATCAAAGAAATTGAAGAGCAGACAACGTTACTAAATTGGATATCAAAGCTAAAATGATGGGGAAAACG